GCTGAAGAACTGGGCCAGGGTGACATCAGTTGTGGAGTCTTTAGATATTCTCGTGTTAATTTGTTGGTTGGTGCAGTATTTTCGTTATTCCTGTGAGAAAACAGCAGTTGTCCGCCATAGTGACATCACAGCAGAACATTGCTAGTGCAGCTGTAATGGCAGTTAGCAAACAGGAGAAGAAATCTTGAATATAAGGTATATTATAGTCAGGAATCACTGGTAGCTCCGAAAAACAAACCATTTTCAGCTACACAATGTCGTATTAATGAGAAATCCAACATAAAAGTGGAGACGGGCAACGTCGGACTCGAAGATCCAGAATGCAATGCAGCTATACAACACAGCTGTGCTGAGTTACAGAGACCCGGCTCGGCTAGGTAAGTGATCTACGGGATGAAGAGCGCGATGCTGATCGAGGACGGTGGTATTATCATAAAAGCTGACGCTTTGGAAGCTGATCGATTTGAGCAGAGCGTATAGAGGAGGGCATGAGAGAGCTGGACAGAGTAAAGGACTAAAGCTCTGCTGCATCAGTCTCTTTAATCCGGGTCCACACTAACATTTTGGCCACAATTTGGTCGTCTGAGACAAATTTTGAGAAAGCTAAAAGATTCCTATGATCCTAGGACAAAATCCACAGTCTTCGAACGCTAGGTTGACAGGTTCCGGCAGATGATTAACGGCTGTCGCGATAAAAAGTTCTCTACTCCGTACCAGTCTTTTTGCGTGTGTCCATGTTTCGCGTCTCGACTGTCGTACAGTCCAACATTAATGACAGCTGAGCTCCTTGGTGTAACGTGACTCAAAGCAGGGATCGTGTTCATACAGTCTAGAGAAGCAACAGTCGCAAATGACTGTTAAAAATCGCACCGTGTGCTTTACACAGAGATGAAGCAAGAGCTAAATCCTTGTGTTTAGGAACAGGATTGTGGGTACAATGTAAAACATGAAAGCCCCTTGAAGTAACGCAAACCCATTTCTTCTTTTTAACTCCAACTGTCATGACACATTTTTGATACTCAACTCAAGTGTACAAGTAGAGAAAATTGAAAATAATCCATTGTCTTGACTTGGAAAACTAAACTGTGAGTTGAAAAAGTTTCTAAGTTTTGTGCAGTTTTGCACTCGGGTCTCCATTGAACAGTGGACTAGCTCAACAAAAACCATCATGAACTTTGATTTGCTTGTATACTATCTGTTGTTACCCAGATGAGTCTGGTTCCTCTCAAGGTTTCTTCCTCATATCATCTTAGGGAGTTTTTCCTCACCACCGGCTCGCACATTAAGGATTTAATCCACACACTTAAGATCTGTATGTTATGTTTATATGTTTCTGTAAAGCTGCTTTGAGACAATGACCGATGTAAAAAGTGCTATACAAATAAAATTGAATTAAGTTGAAAAACCTGAAATGTTTTACATTGTAGGAAACCGTTCAAGTGAAAATAGATTGACTAGACTGTTCATACTATAAAATGTAATTAACAACAATTGAAGACCACGTGTAGAAGAAGAATACACAAATCAATTGTTCAGGGCAGATTTTTCCTTTAAGCATTTTAGCAGCTCCACAAAAATCAATAAAAAAAAAATCCACCGCTCATGTGTACAAATCCAGAGTCTCGCTGGAGCAGACAGGAGTGGAAAACCCAATACCGAGGAACCAGATGATACGATTCCTCCCGTTCTCCAAGCTCCATTAGTTCTCACGTAGCACATCTGATCCGTCATCTCAAACTCATCCACACTGCAAGCAGACACCAAACTCTAGACCTGCAGATTCAATCAGCTAACAGGCAAAACAGTTCATCTCACATGTCCTCTAAATGTTAGGAGAAGATGCCACTCTTTCAATCAAAACGAGCTGAACTGTTCGGGATGTTTCCACTCCGTACCCAAAAGATACCTCGAACTCTTTCACCTGACAGATTCCGGAGAGTTCTGCACCAAAAAAAAAACAGCGCAAACTGCTGGAACAACAGCGTCTACTGAATTCAAAACAGGAATTAGCACATCACGCGTAATGTCAATATTTTCAGTTCTCCCGCTGAAAAACCGCTGCCCGTGATCGATAAAAAAAGTCACGCTGCAATAAATGTCCCGTTTCATTTGCACCAATCTACACAGATCTTGATCATGCCATCAAATACACACTTTGAATTTCAGGCGTGGACAAATTATAAATTCACCAGCTAAAGTAAACCTTTCGCCAACATTTTATTTATCAGATGTGGTGTCTTGTTCTCGGCTCATATATACTCTAAGGCCAAAAGTATCTGGACACCTGACCATCACACCCATATGTAGTTCTTCCCCAAACTGTTGCCAAGTTAGAAACACACAATTGTGTCTTTGTATGCCGTAGCTTTACAATTTCCCTTCACTGGATCCAAGACGACTAAACTTGTTCCAGCACGATGAAGAATCTGTGCACAAAGCGAGCCTCATGAAGACATGGTTTGCCAAAATCAGTGTGGAAGAACCCCACTGAACACCTTTGGGATGAACTGGAACACAGACTGCACCCCAGACTCCTATATAACGTAATTTCCGGACTATAAGCCGCTATTTTCATGCCGCCAAAACAATTTAGCCTCGTCACATCGGACCAATGAAATTACCCAAAAGGTCACAGTGGACCAATGAAACTGTTCGAATTAAATCTAACGAGCTCACACTACATTCTTCAGATCAGTCATTTTGCTTCGTGCACACCCCCTCATCAGGGAAAACACACGAAGAAATGCATATTGGTTAACGTCATGTCTCCGCCCCGTCTTGTCATGTGTTGTCGAGTCACGTGTTTTGGTATTGCCTGCAGCTGTTAGCAGTTTGGCTGGTGTGTATATATACCGGGAGCCATGACACACACAATGTGGGTAATTAGATATAGAGTTAGAATTAGATAGTGAATATAGTTAGAGTCTTTGTTCATGCCATGTGTCTTAGTTCTTGTTCATGTTTCCTCCATAGTCCATGTCTGAGTTCATGTCAAGGCTAGTTAGCTTATAGCATAGCTTATAGCTTAGCCTGTAGCCTAGTAGCTTATAGCATAGCTTATAGCCTAGAAGCGGATAGTATAGCTTAGAGTTGTATAGACTTGGTTTAGAATATAGATGTAGAAGTGGTTTATAGAGTATAGATATATAGTCTTTGTGTCATGTCATAGTTAATGTTTAGGTTAGTTGGTTTAGTTAGCTTAGTTCATTGAGTTGGTCATGTTTTGTGGTTCTTGTATCTCTTGAGTCTGCTCTCCTCTGTTTCAATAAAAGCTCTCGTCCTAACTGCACTTACATCCGTCCTGCTTCGTTTATGTCACGGATCGTGACAGTTACAACGTGGACACCTGCGGCTTATAGACAAGTGCGGCCTATATATGTACAAAATTGTTTTTCTTTTTAAAATTAGCGGGTGCTGCTTATTTTCAGGTGCGCTCAATAGTCCGAGAATTACGGTAATGTATAATGACAGCGGACCTTTCTCAGGCGCTTCTGAAACGGACAAACCTGGGAAACACTATCGGTGTGGATTTTTGCTGATAATCGATCGAGCACGTGACCTCTAGCTGACGGCCCCGAAACTAAATCTGCTCGTCTACAATTCGGATCTGGTAGTCTGTTCACGTAATCTGTAAACCTACCGGTTTCGCTACCATTGGTGTATGTGTGTGTGTGTGAATGGGTGAATGAGACACAGTGTAAAGCACTTTGGATAAAAGCACTATATCAGTGCGCCATTTACCATCTTCATATCTAGGAAAATGAAACTATTAACCTGCACATGAAGTCTACTTGTCCCGGCTGCTCAAGTTACTGATTTGTCCAACCCTGTATTGTTTGTGCTGTTAGAAACAAAGACTCTGAAAGGTGTTGGTGTGTGTGGGTGCGCGTGTGTGTGTGCTCAATGGAAGATTATAGTGGTTCGTACATATACAGTGAGGGTGCAGAAGCAGCAAATCCAGCTTGTAATCGGATTTCAGGCCAGCTGTAATCTAATAAAGACTCCTTCATCAGTTTCCCCAAAAACAACACTAATGTGTTTAGGTGAATCCCCAAACCAAAGCATAGCATTTAGCTCAGCTGTAAACATTCCTATAGACTGAGCCATGTTAGTCTCTTCCAAATTTCTTTGAATTGCCTCTGAACAATTCCACTGTATAATACTTTTAAACCCAACCGTTAAGCCTCTATGATACAAAAACCTGTGCACTTCCCTTTCGAAAGCGACCTTAACATATCTGTCTTTCAGTTCCTGTCTTTCTGCCTGCACGAGAATAATGAGGATCCACATTCTGCGTGCCAGAAGACGTTGTGCGAGGGGGCACAGAGTACACTGTCGCAGGCCTAAACTAGGTCAGCATGACCTTTCCCTGCCACACAGACAGGCTGAAGGAGTGTCTGAAAGAGGGAGACAGACCGACAAGAGAGAGAAAACCACAGCGGTTAGAGAGCAACGATAGACTGTGAGACAGCGAGATAAAGCAGAGACGGGGAGCGAAAGAAAGAAAGAGAGAAAGAGAAAAGAGAGAGACAGACAGAGAAAGAGATAGAGAGAGTGAGAGAGAGAGAGATAGAGAGAGAGAGAGAGAGAGAGAAAATGCAAAGTGGAAAAGGTTGGACAATAAACGTTGTCTCTTCAGGTGGTCAACAGCAGAGGTAAAAACCTCTGAACACTTCAGTCCAATATGAACACACATGCAAAGACAAAACAGGTTTTTTATAACGGTAATATTCAAATAAATCAGCAGCACAGATATTCAAATGATTTTTATTAAAAAATAGAGGATGTCATTTCTCTTAACCCTCTCACACAGTTCACTGCCGTTCTGCTCCGTTCGCCAAATGGAAATCGACTTCTCTGACATTTACAATCAGTATAAACAAATGAACCGTTAGCTCACCGCACGTCTGATAGGAGTCAGCACACCGTTGGGTTCCTGTGTGAAGAGCATCATGACTCGGTGTTTATCTGCTGGTGAGCAGCGTGAGGGGAAACCGTGAGTCAGCGGTAGCCGAGTGGTTCAGACGGTAGATTACTGATCGGAAGGTCGTGAGTTCAAATCCCAGCACTGCCAAGCTGCCAACGATCTGTCTCTCCAGAACTTTGCAATCGCAGAAATTAACACAAAATCAAGCAAACCGCGCGACATTCGGAGGGCTTGCAAGTTTTTACCGCAGATTAGGGCCGAGGCGCACCATGTGACATCACGATGCGCATTCAGCCAAACCCCTCTTCAATTCACGTGCCTCGATCACGAGAACAGCTAAAAGGTCTCGTTCACCAACAAACATGAATGCGAAAGAACGATTTTGTGTAAGTGCAATTTCGCCAATTAAAGTAGTTTAAAAGTTGCATCTCTAAATGCTTAAAAAGACGCAGCAAAATCAAGCGTTTTTGGCCGCAACAATCACTAAAAATACAGTACGGACAGAGATAAAACAGACGACACGACTAAAGCTGTTTTGATAGTAAAACACTGTATACAACTGCCACAATAACATTAACATTTAAACCTAGTAGGCAAGATAAAACAAAAAAATTAATACTTCTGAAAATCTGCAAATCCTTAAAGCCGAGTCATTAACCTCTACTGTGGAGTGACTTCACAAACAAATTCAATACTGAACACAGTACCAACATAAACAGGTGCAAATTCCATGATTTGGCTTTTAGTAAAAAGAGTAAAGGCATAAATAAGTACACCCCATGGAAATTGTTCTTTGGGGGGGGGGTTTACATTTTGGGACAAGCAAACATTGATCCTCCTTGAAACAGTGCCCGTTAATAATTGACACATAAAATCGACATTTTGTAGTAATTCACACAATTTACAGATCACATGGAAAAAGTAAGTACACCCCCACATTTCTCACACCTTTAAATCCATAAAACTACAATCAGGTGTTCAAGATTGTGAGCCAGTGATTAGAACCTGTTTATGGAGTGCAGGTGGAACCTGCCTTATTTATACCCCACTCATATCTAGTGTCTGGTGTTTGTTATTGAGGTGAGTGGTGTCATCTCATGCCAAGTTCTAAAGAAAGGCTATGGATACCTATTAGTCTGGAAAGGAATTTAGAAAGATACATCAATACTTCATTCCACTGTAAGGAAAATCATCGACAAGTGGTGCAGATTTAAAATGACTGCTAATTTATCCTGGACTGGCCGTACCAGCAAATTCAGCGTAAGAACAGACGGTCTGATGCAAAAAGAAGTCTCCAAGAACACAATAATCTTATCACGGGATCTGTTAGTAAGTCTTGCAACTGTTGGTGTCTAAGTCCATGCTTCTACAATCAGAAAGAGATACATTTGACCTGCATGGGCAGAGTGCCAGGAAAAAGCCTTTTTGTAAGACTACAGTTTGTCATTGAGCATATAAGTAAAGACCAGGCTTTCTGGAATAATGAGCTCTGGACAGATGAATCAAAGAGAGAGTTATTTGTCCACAGTAACAGTAGACATGTTTGGCACTGACCAAAAACAGCTTTTTGGGAGAAGCACCTCATACCAACTGTGAAGAATGGTGGTGGAAATGTTACCGTTTGGGGTTGCTTCGCTGACTCAGGGACTGGACAGCTTACAGTCATTGATTCAGCTATGAATTCTGCATCATATCACAGAGTGTTTGAAGATAACGAGAGGCTATCTGTCTGAAAGTTGAAGTTGACCTGAAAGTGGACCTTTCAGCAGGATAATGATCCTAAGCACACTTGCAAATCCACCAAGGAATGGCTCAAAAAGAAGAAATGGAGGACATAGAATGGCCTAGTCAAAGCCCGGATTTGAATTCCATTGTAATGTTGTGGGGGAATTTGAAATGAGCAGTACATGCAAGAAAACCCTCAAACATCTTGCACCTGAAAGAATATTACGTGGAGGAGTGGTCAAAATTTCCAGCAAGCCTAGTGGACAATTATGCAGAACGCCTACAATAAGAAGCTTCTGCTAAAGGGTGCAATATTAGCTTCTATTGACATTTCTGTTGAATAAATGATTGAAAAAGCTAATTTACCTTGTGGTTTTGTTAAAGTATAACAACTTTATCAAGACACTGTTTCAAACATGAGCAAAATGTTTTCTTGTCCAAATATGTCAAAAAAAAGGCAACAATTTCCATGGGGTATACTTATTTTTTAACGACTCTATTGTTGTATAGAACTTAAAGTAAAGTATACAATTTCATCCTGAGATTCTTATACGAATGACAGACTACTCATCTTACACTATGCAGGCCTTATCTGCTAATCTACCACACCATGATTTCCCAGTGTGAACAACTCAACCAAGAGCAAATACCCTGATCTTAACTGGGTGTTTTCAACAACCTGACAAATCCATCATTCCTGTTTATACAAGTTTAAATGAATCTGGAGGGGATCTAGACGCCTATAGAAAACAGAACTAGGAAACACAACGCGGATTTAACATTATGAAACGGTACAGTACATCTGTGGCCAGGAGCAGAGGGTCCTCACGGTTCTCTTTACTCTCGCCTGTCAATCACAGTGATCCTAGCCAATCTGTGAGCTCATGTATGTGGAAGAGGGCGGACAGCACTTTCCTCTGAGCACGTTACGTGGTCCCCTGATCTGTCCGTTCACACCAGAGATCGACAAAGCAACACGCGACTGTTCATTTTATATGTAGGAGCTCAACACACAGCCACGATTTCAGCCTCAGCAGCAATCTGTGCTTTGTTCTGAAACAGGACTTAAATTGTCACAGTATTGTATTTTCTCCTTGGCTCGGTTGGCTTTCACAAGGCAACATTTCAAAGCCGACCAGAACGTGTTTATGCGAGTCACATGTGAGTAAACGGTCCTCTCGACGGTCAGAGCGCGCCTGTTTATGTTCTGGGGTTACGCTCATAGCGGTCACACATCCAGATGGATAGACAGCAGCTCTGCAAGATTATCGTGGCTTCGTTTTAGCTGTAGTTATTATAATTCATCTAATTTATATGTTCCACAGAGCGATTAAAGCCCATCTCATTAAGACGCTCACTAAACACCTTGCAAATCTGTTAAATGTTTCTATGAGGTTTTGAAAGTTTGAAATTTCACTGAGGCGTTTTACCTCGTCTTCCAAATTAAACTGCGATTCACGTAGCGAGCCGTTAACAAAACAAACACGCGTTTTATGTAAAGCAGTTCCCAACATGCATTGCTATACAGGTTGGTTTGTTGGCCCATTGGGTCGGACTGCTTTCTCACCACAACCGAACCACTCCAGAGTTTACTTGTAGCGACGTGGTCTCGGCCCGGCTGTTTCGGTGTGGATCCAAGCGCGATCGCGGTGTTCGTTTATGTCTAAACAAAGTGAACCGAAGGGAGTAAACACACCAGGTTCCGAAAACTAACAACGGCCTTAAACTCACTGAAAGAATGAACATTTCAGCAGCTGCACCAAACACTGGACTGTAGAGTTCACGGTAAAACAAAATACCTTCACATGTTGCATGTATACACACCAGAGCACCCAGCTTCACACTTTAATTTCTGTTATTGTATAATTTTCTGCACCATCAGGAAACAAAAAGGTCAACCTGCACACAACTGATATGAAGTATATTGCTAAGGACTATGGATCCTTTGCTTACAAGACATTTTCCAAACAGAATAGACGGCATTTCCACTGAATCGGTCTTGCTCCTCGGACACAAAACAGTGTTACAATCTCCAGAATACACACACATCCCAAAACAGGTGCCCTTCAATATCATGAAAGCAGTCGTGATCCACTTACTAGTGACATCTCAGCTCGTTCTTTTTATTTCCAATGCAAATCTACCTGCAAAAGTTTGCATCCCCTATGGGTTCTGGGCAACAACAAAAAATACTAAACTAAAATGTTCTACAATTTATCTACTTAAACAAAATCATGATGCAAAATGAGACCTAGTTTAAAGAAGACTGCGTTTTAAGCAGAGTAATAAGAGATATGTAAAGGAAATGGAACAAACAAACAAAAAAAAACATGCCAAGCAATCCCGCAGAGCTGAACAGATCTGAAACATCAGCTGAGCGATTATTACAACTAAAGACATACCCATGAATAAAAGGTTGCAGCAGATGCAGAGATATTTCTACAGCGTCCAGAAAGAGAGATGCAAACTTTTGAACTCAAATGCACTTCAAAGGTTCGAAACTTTACACAAGTCTTCCTGTGTGGAAACAGTTGAGGGCACAGCACTTCCTGGTGTGGTTGCATTCACCACCGCAGTAAAAACAATCTGTGTTTGTGATTGTCTGTGTGGATTTGGTCTACTCAGGGCATGTCGCATTTCTTCAGTGTCTGAGGGCACAAATATAGGTTCAAATGTTCATCACAGGCAGAAAAGAACCGCACAGAAGAATATGCACATCAGTTTAAAGCATTTTATACAACTTTTCAAATCTGATTGGTATGAAGGTGTTGATGAATAATCTATAACCGTATTGAGGCTGTAATCCAAATGACAAGTTTATATTAACGCACTTGTTCGAAATGCCACACAGGCTAATAATATACAGATTTTTTTTAATAACGAATTATTTATATATAATCAAAGAGAAATCACTATGGTGAAACTGTCTTTATGAAGACAACGAGCGTTTTGGTTTTTGGCTGTTTATAGCTGCTATAACGCAAGAGACAACAAGAACTAAACTGCCTCACAGATGTTCCACAAGATTAAACGTGTCTAGAAATCACCGAGTCGTTCATCTCTCCAGTTTCCGTACTAATGAATACTGCACAAGGCCGTGGGGGAATCCCAGGGAACTTGGGGCACAAAGTGGGGGGACACGCTGGACAGTGCGACAACATGGCACCATCACACACCTATACAGACAATACGAACAATCTGGAAATGCCAATCATCCTGCAACGCATGTCTTTGGACCGGGACAGGAAACTGCAGGAGTAGCCGGAGGAAACCTCCGCAGCACGTGGCAAACACACACACAGGGCACAGGCGGGACTCGAACCCCCAACCCCGGATACACCAGTGCTTGCCTAATTGCTTCGGTAGAAGTATAAGCGGAATAAAACGGCACACCCTGAAGCTTGTCAAGTCCTCACTTACTC